GTTCAAGATGGTGTAAAGCTACTCCGGTCTGAAGATAACTTGATGTTAGTCCGGTCTCACAGTTAGTCCGGTTGCGGTGTATTATTGTTAGATCGGTCGGAGCTTGCTACTCAGAAGCTTGGTCTCAGCATACCATGGTTGAACGGGAGAAAACCGAACTAAGGATAGTTCGGCCTACTCTGTGGCTCAGCATAGCCAGTGTTATTTCGGTCACATAGAAGTTCGGCCGTGGTAAAAACCATCCCACTTGGTTTAAGCAGTGGGGAGGGTGTAAAAGGATAAGCATAATCCTTAGGAATATGAATCCTAGGAGGACTCTGCATGGAGAAATAAAAGTCCTACTAGGATTATGCCACTCGAAACCTATAAAAGCTCACAAGCACCACCTTGGAGGAGGTAATTGAACACAATTCTTTCTGAGAACATATATCAAACCCAATTTCAAACTCATAAATTATAAAATATGAATTAAACTTTCAAAATATGATTCCAAAACTTGGATTCATGTATGGCTTGTCTAAAAACATACAAACTCTTAAATAATCAAGAAAACATGATCAATTTTAAACTATTTACATCAAAACTCCTTTAATATAAAAATTAAACTCATTTGTTCATAAACTCATAATTTTTCAAAACTTAGGCTTCGTTTGGCATGTTATAATTTTAGCTTAAAAGTCAAAAAATTACTAAAAAAAACCAAAAGCCTGTAACCTATATCAAAAAGTTAAAAATTATTTTTTCTCTTTACTTTTTGCATATCTTTTCATAAAAAATCAAAAAATTATTCCAAACATACTATTTTTTTTACCTCATATTTTAGCCAAAAATTCAAAAAGTTACTAAAATAGTCTGTTCCCAAACGAGGCCTTAGTTCTTGTTTCATCAAAACATGAAATCAATTCTTAGAAATCTATGATGCATGTACAATTAAAGTATTAAAACTTGTAGAATTTGTTCATGTATGTAAAAATGATACTCAAACTCATGTAAGATATGCAAAATCATACCCAAAATAATTAATTTCTAAATTTGTTCTCATAACCATGAACCTAGATCAATTTTTTTCATCATTTTGCTAATTCCTTTTTTAATTACATGAAATTGAACCCAATTACTTCTTAATTTCAGCTTTAAACTAAATTATTTACAAAATTAAGCTTGAAATCCTTACCTAGAGTTCTTGATTAATAAGTTTCTCGGTGAATTTCCCTTTTCTTTCTTTAAACCCTAACTTTCCTTGATCTCAATTCCTTCTCTCTTCCTTGACATAGAATTTTCAGCACCTTTTTTTCTTCTCCAGCACATAGCCTTTCTTTTTCTCTTCCTCTAACTCTAATGCCTTCTCCAACAAAATGAAAGTGAGTTCTCTCTCTCTAACTCCTAAAACGTCTCAGGTGAATAAAGGAGGAACTTCTCTTGGCCCCGTTTGTTTGGAGAGTTAGAGAGGGGATTAGGATTGGTAGTTAATGAGGTGAGACCTACTAATATTGTGTTTGTTTTGAGAGATGAAGAGGGGATTAATAGTGAGCTCCGGATTAGGATAGGCCTTCCCAAGGGGATTCAGATGGGCTTCCAGGATTTGGTATTAGAAAAATAGTCCAGCGAACTAGAAATTTTTTATTTTTATTTATTTTTTACATGTCGGGTATTTTTTTTGAACATTAATGTTTAATTTTTTGTATTTTTTTGTTAAGTAAAAATCATTATTTTATTTGTTTTATTTTTTTTTGAATTTATTTTATTTATTTTATTTTTTTTAGAATTTTTTACATGTTGGGCATTTTTTTTAAAACATTAATGTTTAATGTTTTTGTATTTTTTTTATTTATTTTATTATTTTATATAAAAATAATTTAATAATCCCTACACTAACAACTATCATCAAAACAAACACAATTTTACTTAGTCCCCTCACTAACAATCCCCTCCATTCTATTTCTGAAACCAAACGACCCCTTAAGTCCTCTCAACTCCTCCCGTAAATGAATTACAATCTCCTACTCTCAAAACTTCTAGAAGTTTCTTTTTTTTTGACCAAAACTTCTAGAAGTTACTCAAATTTACATCAACATTTTTAATTAGTTTTGAGTAGGATTAGATTAGTCTATTAATTATATATTAACTTAATGACTTAACTTAATTCATTTCATTAATCTTAATTTATTAATTATATATTAACTTAATGACTTAACTTAATTCATTTCATTAATCTTAATTTAATCACTCTTAATTTTATTAATCTAAATCAAATTTTTAATTAAACTCTTATAAAGCTCTACATATTAAACTGATCCCAAATAAAATCTCCTATTAAACGAATCACTACATGAATTCTAATAATTAATCTTCCATTCATTTAGAATTAATCATAACTAATTACAAATTCTTCATAACTTAATTAGTCAAATTAACTTCAATTAAGGCCCAATCAATCACTATTAAATTTATCAATCTGAATCAGATTTTTAATCAAATTTCTAAAAGGCTCCAAATATCAAATTAAACTTATTATCATCATCAATTTTGATTTTTCAAATCACTAAAGCCTTCAATTTCAGATCAAACTCAAGATTCCTCTTAATAATTTATATATTCAAATTGGACACCTCATAAGTGTATTTAATGCAGAATAATCACAATTACTAATTCTTATAACCAAATTAGCTTAATTAATTCTAATTTGGACCCAATTAATCAAATCTTAATTTTACTAAACTGAATCGAATAATTAATTAAACTCCCATATGGTTCCATACTTGAAATTAAACTGATTCAACTCACCAATTATACATTCTTAAGCCATTTAGTTTTTCAATTTCTAATTCCAAAATAAATCCTTAATATAATCATATACAAATTAGGCTCAATAATTCTCATAAATCCCAAACTAAATCAGAATAATAACTAGGTAAAATTCAAATCTTCTTAATTAATTAAATTCAAGATTTATACGTGGCGGGGTCGTTACAAATATGTAAAGTAATTCTCTATTTTTCTCATATCTTCTTTAGTTATCAACCAATCATGTTGTTTACACATCATTAGATTTAAAAAGTAGATTTAAAAATGGATTTGTACATTATTTTCCAATAATAAATCCACACGATGCATTTTGTAGGGTCGCCAATGCAAACATATTAAGTTTGTCATTTTAATAATATTGAAACCTATATTTTGGCAATTTACAATAAGTAAGAACTTTTTTTTTTAGTATAAAAAAGTTTAGGTGAGGGGAGGCTACCCAATTTAAAGCCAAGATACGTTGTAGGTCTACTTATAGATCGCCCACCAAAAAAAACTGATGGTATAAAAAATCGAACATAAGCCATGAAAACAAAGAGTCTTTACTAACTCAACCAACGCTCATTGGCACAATATGTAACAACTTGCAACCAAACATTTTTCCAATTCCATTAGCTATCAAAGAAATGCATTAATGCAGAGTTATGGATTCTCAATATTCAAAATTCATATGACTTCAAGGGTTGACTCAATGGATATAACTTGTGGTTTAGGGTTGTGCTTCCTTAGATTTCAAGTTCAATACTCACTAATTGCAATGAAAGGTGTCTAAAATACCGTCTAATATTTTGCATCAATTCGTACTGCTCCATCTGCTAACCGCAAATTAAAATTTGAAATTTATAATTTGTCTCTCTAATAAAATATCAAAATAAAAATAAATGTGAGAGATATTTAAGATGTGAAATTTATTGTTAATTAGTAGTTATATTATATATATGAAAAATATTATGCAAATTAGTGTTATATATTATACAAATACTTGATAATTATTTAAGAATATTATTCAATCAACTATCAAATTGAAACCATCTCCAACAATTCAAACCGTGGTTTGGTTATTTACCAATCCGCCATTCATGATTTGATTTATAATTTTACTTTCAAACTGCCTGAGTGATACCGCACACACTTCTAACTTCAATAAGTCCCTTAAACTCATTTCCACACATTGTACCAAACCCAAAATCCCACTTCAAAAAGAGTTCATTTAATTGATCATATATATGTAAATATATATTTGGCTAGACCATTAAAGCTTGGTTAATATAGTATAATAACCTCTCCACTCATAATTAATTTTAAGTTGGATAATTTTAACATTGTGTTAAAATTAGATTTTAGGTAGTCCCTCACCTCTTACTGTACAGTGATCAATCTTTCAATCGAACTTTTCAATTATCTCCACTTGTTATCAAAGCATCACACAAAGTATAACTAGAGACTTTTTCGATTATATCTAAAATAAAAATAAATTATAATAAAATCATAATTAATATCACAATAGATCATAACCACCCCAAAATGGATTGTCTATGCCTTTAGCAGAAATTGACGAGCTGGGATTAGGGTGTAGCTTGGGTGGCCCAACCTGAGTTAGTTTGAATTTGTTTTGGGTTTGGACAAAATATTTTGAGTTTGTCCCTATGGGATTTGACCAAAAATCCATAAATTCGAATTAAATTTAGATAGATTTAAACAAAAATATCAAACAACTCAACTAATCTGAAAGCCGAATTATATATATAAATAAATATATATAAATATTATTGACCATTGAATGTTATTAAAATAATTTAAATTTTTAGATCATATTGAAAGTATATTATATATAAAAGTAAAACAACACAAAATCTTTTGTTTCTCACTTATAAATTGTAATGATTATCATAATGACATTTCCTTAAAATATATAAATTATTTATTTTGATATTATTAATGATTTTATTAAACAATATAAATATAGTCTAATTTTAATAAATTAATTAATTCAACTACACTAAAAAAAGAAAAAAGAAAAAAAAAAGAAAAAAAATTAAAATTTATGTATAATTGGAGCAATTCAAAATCTATTTAGATTTCACAACATAAATTGAATTTGAACAATCTCTCGACTTATCACACCATAGTTGGGATAAGCGGAGCGGACTCGGAACCCGGAAACAAACTAATGACCCGATTTAACTAGGATCCGTTTTGCTCACCCAAAAGAAGAAGGGTGACCCAATCCAGGTGAAACCCTAGCTATATATAATGGAGGTAGTATTACACGCTTGCTGCGCCTCTGTTTTCTCCTTGTTTGTGTTCGGAAGCTGCGTCTCCTCCCAATTCTGCAGATCCATAGCCTTTCTGGTACTCTCTCTCTCTCTCTCTCCATAGACATATATATATATGTATATGTATGTATGTGTAACATCTTTGTTCTGTGTGTGTGTGTGTGTGAAGGAAGGAATTTAAGAAGAAGAGATGAAGGTAGTAGCTGCATATTTGCTGGCCGTGTTGGGAGGCAACACCTGTCCTTCCGCCGATGATCTCAACAACATCCTCAACTCTGGTATTCTTTCTCTCACATCTCGTTTATATGCATATTCATCTACAAATGGAAATCTTGATTTTTTGTTAAAGTTCTTGGTAGATCTTCTCTTTCGACTTTATTTGTTTTATATTAGTTTCTTGATTTTATTTTACTGCTTAGTTTTAAGTTTCTGCGTTTTTCAGTATCACATTATTGCTTTAAAACTCCAACATGTATACATGTAGATTTTTTGTTTGTGTTGTCTTCACTTCGAAGATTTAGAGCATTTCCAGCACTCCACTACTTTTTTCATCTAATTTTTAATTTCAAATTTGAGTAGAAATCCCCTTTTACCCCAAATTTCACTTATCATCAAATTTGACGAATAAAATCATCTTCATGTCAAATCAAGGGAAAAAATATTTTTTCATCAAATCTTTCATAAATTTTTAATTTGATGGGGTTTCAGATATGAAGCATTGGAGATGAGTTTTTTCCCCCCCCCATCAAATTTAATGAAAAGTGGAATTGGGATGAAAGGGAATTTTTAAAACGATTTTGATGAAAATTTGATGAAAGGGGAGTAGTTCATATCAAATTAAGCTTTTTACTCAAATATGGAATCAAATTAGATGAAAAAAATGTAGGGAATAGCATCTCGAAATGTTCACTTTTTTTCCCATCAAATTTGTTCAAGAATTTAGACCAAAAGTTTCATGTGATATAGCTCACTCTAATGGTGAGAATCAAAACTTTTATCAAATCGTTTAAAAAATACCTAATAAAATCATCAATTGTTCACCAAATTAGTCATCAAATTTAAATTGGATGAATTATTATAATGAAGATGTTAAAATTGTGTTAGAGCATCTCCAACCTTTAACTTTTTCTTCCATCTAATTCATTCAAGAATTTATACTAAAAGTTTGATTTTTTTGTCAAAATGTTAAAAATACCTAAGAGCATCTTAAATTTGATGAAAAAGAGATCCATGTTTTCATTAAACTCAAATCAAATCAAGTTTTCACCAAATATTTCATCAAATGAGGTATGAATCAAATCTTTCACCGAATTTACCAAGTTTCCAACAACTCATTTTTCATTGAACTTTGATGAAATTATTAAAGATGAAGGATTGGAGATGTGTTTTTTTTCCACTTAAATTTGTTAAATGAGGTTTTGGGGATATGTTGGATATTTTTAAAAGATTTGATGAAAAATTTTATTCTCACTATAGGAGTGAGCAATATCAAATCAAGTTTTTCATCTTAGTTTTTGAACAAGTTTGATGAAAAAAAGGTAAATGGTTGGATATACTCTTAAACCCCCAACACATGGCGACTGACAGACATCTCTAATCCTTCATTTTTTTAACAATTTCATCTACCTTAAGTGAAAAAAGGATTGTTGAAATTTTTTTTGAAAGATTTGATTCATACTTGTTTGATGAAATATAGTTGGTGTTGATTTGATAGGAATTTGATGTAAGGATTGCATTTCATATTCTCCAAAATTTTCATCAAATTTAAATTTGATGAAGGATTTGGTGAATGGTTGGAAATGCTCTTATATGATTGAAATTTTAAAAGGATTTTCCCAAGGCAAAATGAATTAGTGCTTTGATTTTTAGGCTATACTGCTCAAAGGGCTTGTGTTTCACAGTATGAGGCATGTGCCTTTTGTGCATACACATATGAGGAGTATGAATATGAAGAGCTTGTCTTAGGTGGTTGTTAAACTTAAAATCTAGTAGATAGTTTAAACATAAAATGCAAAAAATAAAAAAAGAAAGACTTCATGCTCAACTATATTTTATAGTAAAAGTAAATCACCAATCAATAAAAAGAGACTTCATGCTCAAGTGAAATAAAAAAGAAACTTCATGCTCTAGTGAGAAGCTCATTTAGTAAAGCTAAGAATGTCAATTTCACTTTCAGTGACGAAATGCTTCCTTAAATGTTTGACGCATTAAGGAGAAAAGTATTTAAACCTTTATATTTAATATTTTCTACTATTTTAAATTTTAAATTAAAATAAAATATTGAATTTATTTAGTAAATATAAAAATTCAAAATTTGAAATGTTTACGCTCAAGGCTTATGCCTTGCCTCATGAGGGATGAAACGTCTCACATTACAGTCTTTAAAAACTTTGTCTATGACAAAAACTGATTAAACTAGGACCCAATTTAAGAAGCATGGATATGGACACTTGACCCGAATGGATCCATAAATTTTCAAGAAATGTAGAACATGACACTTTGGGGACATTTGCGAAACATATAATTATATTTATTAGATGTCATTTTTTAATATTATATATTTATTTTATGTCAAATATTTATTCTCATCAAATTTATAAACCATGAATATTTTATTTCGGCCAAAAAATAAGGACCTAGCATGTACGAGTCGTATCCAAGTGTCCCCAGCGTGTCTGACACGTGTTCACAATGTGTCCAGCGCGTGTCCATGTCTGACACGCATTGGACATTGGTATGTGACCTCGTAGAGGTGTGTGTGCTTCATATGGCCCAATTTTATGTGTTAAAGTTTGTTAGTTTAGTGTGTGGGTATTGCAATGAAGATGTTAAAAATGTGTTTAGGTGTGTTTTAAGAATAAAAGTAAGATAAAGCCTGGCTTCATCTCCTCCTTTCACACTTCCATTGTTGATCTTTTGTTAGTTGCCCTATCTCCCCTCTTCTTTCTCTCTTCTTTTACTCTCTCCACTTTGTGAACTTACTCTTTACAGTATTTTAACATCTCATTGAAATTTTAGCTAAGAGCATCCATACCAGTCTCTTCAAATTTTTAGTCAAATTATAGCTAAAAAAGCTATTTTACTATTTTAGCTAGTCACCTCTTTAGTACCTACTACATCAAACTCTCTATTCTAACTTAATCTTATTAAAATATTGTTTTCTTATTGTGTTTGTTATTCCTTTTTTTTTTTTTAAATATTAAATGGATGAGTTACCAATCAAACAATTATTAAAAAAAAAAAAAAAAAATGGCCGTTGACCGGTTGACCGGCCGGACTTCTGGTAACACTAATCTCCGTGTTGTAGCAATGAACAGTACATTGCTTCTTGTTGTGAGGTACTGTAGCAAGATTGATGGACATCCATTTTTGATGAACAGTATCACTAGTTTAGCTAAAAAACGATTTTAGCTAGTTTGATGTAGATGCTCTAACATTGTACTCCACATACCTAGGCACTTACATTGGGGCATCAAAAACCCTTCTCTCTTCACTTTTTGCTGACTTCTTACACTGAATGTAGATGCTTTAAGAGCATCTCCATTGGAGATGTTAGTGTGTGGATTTGTGTTAGTTGCTAAAAAAGTAAGGGGAGGGATGAAAATTTTGATCCAATGGAGCTGTTAGGTCCATTTGCAGATGTTAAAATGCTCGGATGTGAAGGTGTTGGTTAACTGTAAGGAGTTAGTTAACAAGGTAGAGAGAGAAAGAGAGTGTGAAGGGGGGCAGAGGGCTGGGGAGGTCAATGCAAAAGGGGGGGGGGATAATTTTTTTATTTGTTTATTTATTCTCAATAAACACTTTAACATACATTTTAACATCTCCATTGCAGTACTCATTCGCTCTCTAAATTAACATGCACATAAAATGGGTTCACTTTTATTCCTTTATTTTAGTTAACACACTAATACACAATTTTGGCACCTCCATTGGTGATGCTCCAACCTAAATTGTGGTGGGTACAGTCCACTCATTTTGCCTTTTTAGGTACCCCAAAATTAATGACTAATTAACTGGGTTTGCTTATTATGCAATTGTTTTATTTGGTTATGACATCAACTTTTATGATTTTTTATGTCATGCAAAATAAAACTTGACTGCCATTTTTCTTTGATGACATAAACACAATGTTGAAACTAGTGTGATCTCAACTGCTTTAATCCTGAAACTGATTTTTCCTAGAATGACCCGGGATTGGTTATCCTGAAACAATCTGTGATTCCTTTAATTTCAGCTGCTTCCTGTAGAAGAAGTGATGTTGTATTGTATTGTTTGATATTATGGCTTTGTTTTGACTTCATACAGTTGGAGCTGAGGCTGATGATGATAAGATTGAGCTCCTTTTGTCGGAGGTCAAGGGTAAGGACATAACGGAGCTCATTGCATCTGGACGGGAGAAGTTGGCATCAGTTCCTTCTGGTGGTGGTGGTGCTATTGCAGTGACCTCATATGGTGGTGGTGCTGCTGCAGCTGCTCCAGCAGCAGCTGAGCCCAAGAAAGAGGAAAAGGTGGAAGAGAAAGAGGAGTCAGATGATGTAAGTTTTTATCCACTTAATCACATTGTTGCTGGAATTCTGATATTTGTGACTTCTCATTTTGCCCAGCTACTTGTGTTATCTTAGTTCTCCTTGCATCTGACATGGTTATCTGAGCTTCAACCTCTTTACTGGTTAACTTGTTTAACATTGATGGATTCAAACTAACCATAACGCTGATGGATTCAAACTATATTGCCCATTCATTTTAGATAAAAGGTGAATGTTATAGTTAAGTGTCATATGAGGTGCCACAGCAGATTGATGGTTCCCAAATATGCTATTCAAATATGACCAAGCTAGCATTATTCTATTTTTAAATTGTTGTGCATTCATGCATGCTCTTTGCATATGAACAACTTTCAAACATAATGGTATTGATTTTTCTTTTCTTCCAACTTGCTGCAGGATATGGGCTTCAGTCTTTTTGACTAAGGGGTTCAGATTCCTTCTTTCTCCCACAATTCAGAGTAATGTAAGCTTGAACTTTTTGTTATGCAGAGTGACTGTAGCTTTTGGTTTTTTATTTGGTAGAAAAAAGCTTGGCATATTAAAAAAATACTGCAACTCTCTACTTGTCATATTTTTGTTTCTTTTATTAAACTAGTGAATTTTGTGCTCTATTCCAAATGTGTCTAATTTAATGTTTTTGATAAATTATTGGTTTTGTTGGTGTGATTTTGGTATTAGTATTCCGATTAAATAGGGGTATGTGCTTGGTCTGTCATGCAGGCTTCTAACAAGAGTCTTCTTGCAGATTATTACTATATGCACTGCTCTTGATTTTAGAAAAAAAAAAAATCAATCTATGAATTAGTTAGGATAGGAATTTTTACTTGTTGCAAGGTTTTAGATTTAAAACAAATCAATCAATTAGCATTTAAATTAATAAAGATAAAAATTTAAGATTTATTGTGTTACAAGGTGCAAATCTCAAGGATTTAGTCTACATATATATATCAAAACTTTTGCTAGTGTATATTTTTACTGGTTTAAAATTAAAATTCTAAGGCCTCATTTGTTTTCAGAGATAGAATAGAGGGGATTGATAGTGAGAAATTGTTAAATTATTTTTATATAAAATAATAAAACAAATGAAAAAATATAAAAAATTGAATATTAATATTTTAAAAAAAAATTTCAATATATAAAAAATAAAAAAAATAATTTTTTTTTAATCTCCTCACTATTTTTCTAATACCATCTCTATTTCTTCCTTATCAATCATTCTTCTAAGGGGACTATTAATACCAAGGGATTAATAGTCTTCTCCTCATCTCTTACAACAAACACTCCATTAATAATATCAAGAGATTAGTAAAATCTCAATCCCCTTCTTATAATTCCAAACAAATAGGGCTTAAGTTCTTATTATAATAATATTTTTTTTCTCACAATGTGGCATAGTTTTTGCAAATTAATGGTTGATAGTGGATGTTATGTTCTATCACTAATCCAACAATGTAGGGCCTTGTTTGCTACAAAAAAGTATGTTTTAATTTAAGAGTTTGTGTCTGATTGTTTAATGTAATTTTTATTTATAATTTATTAAGTACAAGTAACTTAAATAAGTTTTTTTAAAAAATATTAGCTTAAAGCTAGAGAAATGGTGGTTTAATTTTTATTTTTTAATTATTAGTTTTTAACTTACAATAAATGACACCAAACATGACTTATATGAGTTAGTATGAAAAATATGATAAAAAGAAGGTAATTCTTTTGGGCAACATTGCTGCAGACCCCCAGTGAGGTGGCGAGCCCCCACTGGCTGAAACTCAAAATAAATAAATAAAACAGTTTTTTTTTTGCCCAATCATGGCGTGCCACCTCACTGGGGGTCCGAAGCATTTTTCTTCTTTTGGGTGTATTGTAACCTAAAAAAGAAATGAGGATTATAACATTATTCATCTTGTTTGTTTTTAGAAAATTGAGTTCTTTTTTGAGAAAATTAAATTTTTTATTTTTCATGTTTTTTGTTTTTAGTAATTTTTTTAATATATTAAGAATTTTATTATTTTTTATTTTTTTAGATATATCTAATCTAGATGCATTTAAAAAGTATAATATTTATAAAAAAAAAATTAAAAAAATTCATCAAATATAAAAATTTAATATATTTTCGTATTTTTTATTTATTTATTGAATCTTTTAAATATTTGTTCCTAAATATTTTACTTTTTAAATGGATTTAAGTGATGTGTATTTAGAAAGTAAAAAATTTACTTAAAATATTAATAAAATTTACTAAAAATAAATAAACAAAAAAAATAAAAAATTTAAATTTTAGAAAATCAATCAAAATCAACTTATATTAAACATATTTCGAGACGCTTGGAAGATTCTAATTAAATTACAAAGACCAAACTTTCACATTTATACCAAAAAATAGCATTTTTATTTTCACATGCTTCATTGTTGTTGTTGTTGCTGTTTTTTTTTTTTTTTTTCATTCATTCATTTGGATATGGTTTGAATTGGGACGGTGGATAGAGATTTTAGTGGTGTTACTGGCCAATAAAAGATCATAAATGAGAATAGTCTTCCAAAGGTAGTTAGCCAAAAGAGCCGTGCCTCAGAAACGACATTTTGTCCAAGTCTTATTTTTTTGTGGAAGTATATTTTCTTTTTGTCTAATTCACTTTTTTTTTTCTTTGAGTTTTGAGAATATCCCCATTCATAGGTCTGAGATCTACATCTATGAATTGAAAGGTCTGAGTGATTAACTCTGCAATTAGTTGCTAGAATCATTAAATCTTAAAATCATTCATTTGAAAAAATGAAAAGTCTTATTATTAGATGATCATGATACTTTTCAAAAATCGAAATTCTTGATCAATTGAGGAACTCATTTTGAACCTTTTTCTTTTGGGTGAGCGTGTGGGTGAGTGGGTGTGTGAGGAAAAAATAAGTTTTGTTTTTGTTTTTTATTTTTTTTTCCATTGCCATATAGACCTCGACTCATCGTAAAGTTATGCAGAAGAAGAATTCAAAATACTAATCATTGTGAGCGGACAATTTTCTTCATTGCATTCTGGTACTCTTATACTTCCTCAATCAACAAGTCCGACAAATCAAACCATGGCCCTTTGAGAGTATTATAGGTGTATTGCTTTTAGGAATGTACTCAGATCACCCTCCGTGCGGGGGTGATTTCCGCACTATGAAGAAGAGTTGAACTTCGTGGATGAACAATGTGCTTTAAGAATTGAAGATTTGCACAAAATAACAAACGGTGAGGCTGCCCGATCGGGGTTTGGTAGGAAACCCCTCCGATGGTAAAGTCAGGGACTCAGGGAGAGGAAGAAAAGAGAATACAAAGAGTGTGTATGTGTTAAGTGTGTGGATTTTCGGATCCCTTTAGGGTGAATAGTGCTCACATTTTATAGGAGAAGGTTGCTTGTCCTCCGGGACCTTCTCTCTCCGCCATCTGTCCAATGTGTCTTATTCGTGGCCGTCTCCCATTGGAGGAGGACGGCTACTCCGTCTGACACTCGGGTGCAGGTCTGTTTTGTTTGTCTCATTAGCGGTCATTTCTTATTGGAGGAGGACGACCACTCACCTGACACTCAGATGCAGGTTTGTCATGTGTGCTTCTTGTCCTTCTGCACCTCCTCGCCTCCACGTTCTGTCCACACAGAGGGAAAGAAGCAGAGTTGTTTGTCTCTTGTGGGCCCAAGAAAGATTTTCAGTGAATTGACCTTCTTTAAGTTGGTCTACTCCAGAATGGTTGTCCAACTAGGAGGTCCACTATGTTGCTCGGCCTACTTTGGAGTGACGCTCGTATATTGGACCGAACTCCTATGATTGTCTTGCTTTGGAGCAAGTGTTGGCCATAGGGCCGAGGTCCAACTTAGCTAGACCTCGGAGCGAGTATAGCATTAGGTCTAACACCAAGACTTGATTAATTTTCACTCACTTCACCCTTAAACCTTATTTTTGTGACCCACAAGAAAGTTCCAAACAAGCGAAACATGACTTTGAATTCACAACCCTCGGCGTCAACCACACCCTATTGGTGGCTTGCTGGAAGAGGAAGGCTCCTGAGAAGAGTATAGTTTTACTTTGCTTCTCCTAGTAGGTAGGATGGATCTAGTATCTGACCTTTTAGCAAAAACACATGTAACTTTTCATTGAAAAAAAATATTATAAAAATTTAAATTTTGATTTATACGAGTATCAAAAAAATGAATAATATTACTAATCGGACATTATTTGTCAGCTTAATTGAGAATAAAAATATAATTTGACATATTTCTTTTGTGTGCATTAACTTAACAAAATATTAACTGTTTTTATGTGTCTGTCTTTTAAAATTAACTATTTGAAAATGTTATAATCGCTGCTTTTTTTTAGTATATCTAAAACATCTATGATGAGTTTGATATCAAAACCTTAATTAATATCGTTATCAATAAATATGATTAAGTAACTTGTTATAAAATCATCTTTAATCTTATTAGGCAATTTAATTTTGAAAAAATTATAATTGAAAATGTATATTTTTATGAGTATAATGATAATTCGTTTTAATAAGCGGTATTAAATTTTATGAACTTATTTTAAGAATGTCATGTTGAAATATACAATATTTTCATTTTCAGGCAATATTCCTATTTTTAGAAAATGAACAAATAAGAATGAATACAAAATAAGATCCATAGGCAAATTAAAGTGTGATTGATATAAGAAGAAAAAAAAAACATAAATGACATACGAGCATAAACAATATAGAAATATAACAAATAATACAGACAACAAATAGAATATATCAATATTTGATAAAACTTAATTTAGAAATTATTTTTAAAATTTTTTAATGTAAATAATTTAAAGTGTGCGAACTACTAAAAATTTGAAGATGCGAAGAATTTCACTTTAAAATTATTTTACTAATTGTTGGTATAATATGCATAACTTTTAGGTCCTGTTTGTTTTCAGAAGTAAAATGGAGGAGATTCATAGTGAGAGAATTAATAGTGAGGGGATTGTTGGTGAGGGGATTAAGTAAAATTGTGTTTGTTTTGATGATAGTTGTTAGTGTAGGAATTATTAAATTATTTTTATATAAAATAATAAAACAAATAAAAAAATATAAAAAATTAAACATTAATATTTAAAAAAAATTTCCAATATATAAAAAAATAAAAAAATTCTAATCCTCTCATTATTTTTCTAATACCATCTCCACCTCCTTCATTTCAATCCCCTTTCCAACCTCCATCTATATCACCTCCTCCATCCTAATCTCCTCCTCAACTCAGGGCCGGCCCTGAGTTCGTCGGGGCCTAAGGCGAATTTCAGAAATAGGGCCCTTTTATATTGAAAAAAAATTCATGAATAAAACGATAAGTTACAATTTTTTTATTTGTTTGTAACCATAAAAAAATTTACTTACACATATAATCATTAAAATTATAAATAAAACAATTTAATAAAACAAAATTAGAACAAAAAAATTAGAAAAAAATTATTCAATTAAAATTGATAAAGACCTAGGTAAAAAAATTTGAGCAAAATTATTTATTCCACTAAAATCTAATAGATAAAGAAGGTAAAAATAAAAAATAAAAAAAATAGGGCCCATATATTGTATGTATTATTTTTCTTGAGCCCAAACACTTTTTTTTTAATATATATTTTCATTTTAATAAATATGG